GAGAGGGAGAGAGAGAGCTGGAGAGACGAATGCTTATTTTTTGTCGTTAATAACCTACCTGCCTATCCATGTACATACTATCTAGCTATCTACCTAGCTATACCTACCTCACAACGACATATGTGTACACACCCTAAGTGGATCGAATAAATCCTCTATAGCTCTTGAGGGGTCGGCTTCTGTTCTATGCATGCACTCATAAAGGGCCCAGTTTGCTGAGGTTGGCTGACACGTGCACAGCTGATGCTCTTGCATCAGAACGAAGAAGTTGTCAACAACATCATTGCTGCGAAAGTGGCCAGTGGCCACACGAGGCCGCATCCGGATTTGCCGGATGATGAAAGTGCACGCCTCTATTATGTCGGTGACTTAATATTTTCCAGGTCTCTATATTGGCACGAGCAAACCATCCATGACCTCAGGTTATGGTTGACATGTCCTTTACCAACGAGCATGAGACAAGTGATTCCTTACGTGTGTCCGTGGGCGCAGAAGTGGATGGTGAGGCTGTGTAGACTGCCAATGTGCCCCGAACTAATTTCTAATGTCTCTATCCTTCGTTTGCGCAGGCAGCACAACGGCTTCTGGGTGGTGGTGTCTATCAGAACCTGGGTGTCAACACGATGTATGGTGCTGTTTCCGCTCCGGGTATGCCTTCTGCAAATGGGGAAACTGGCTGCTTGGGTATGCTGCCAGGAGGTAGCAACGCAGTGGCCGGGAAGGGCGGCAAGGGCAAGGGAAAGGGTAAGGGTCTGGCTGCCATCCATGCGAATGGCCAGCTCAAGCTGGCCAAAAAGCCCAAGAAGCCTCTCTGTCGCAACCAATGTGAGTCTCTCTCTCTCTCTCGCTCTCCCTCAAATATATGTGTTGTGTTGCCCTTGTCTCTTCTGAGGGATGATTCGATGCCGGAGGCTGCCGGGCCGGCAGTGGAATGGTGCTTGACCAAGCTAATCAAAGCCATGGGCGATGCCAAGACGATCACTGTGAGATTAGCCTGTGTGCAGCATCAAGAGAAGCTGTGTCTCTTGCATGCATACTATCCTATATATACTATTCTACTCAGAGCAGCTGCAGCATCCAAGGTGAACTGCTGAAGACACATTCTGGGGAGCTGGAGACATCCTACGGCCAGCTGCAAGGATTGAAGTCTGCTAAGGCTTGCTGTTGTTCTTCACTGGCTTTCATGGGTGATGTTTACTTTTCTTATCTGGGCAGGTGTGTGATGATCAGCTGTATGCTGCCGCGGAGCTTGCTCGACAGCGACTGTGCCTCTTCTGGGAAGACAAGGCTAGCGCAACCCGTGTCTGCCCGAAGCCGAAGAAAGCCAAGAAGGACCGGCACATTACACATGTTAGGGGGAATTGGGTGTTCTTTCTGGGTGGCTTTGGGGCCCACCTTAAGGCTCCCAAGAGGACTTCCCGGGAAGAGTTTCGACTTTGGGGGACAGGGTTCCTACATGGGGGCAATGTCGAAAGTGATTGCCTTAAACAACCACGAAGCCCATCCGTACAAATCCTATGAAACCTTAAAACCACGAATCCTCGGCCCCTGAGCTTCAGTTTTCTTGACTAGTGCAATCTCATAACCCCAAAGCTCAATGCAATCATCCTGTAAAAAATAGAAACCCTACTCCACTAACCAAAAGCCCTATAACTGTAAATGGTGAAGCCTTCTATCCATCCCTGACAATCTTGTAAACTCGTTGTCCTGCCGAAAGCAACACAAAACCTGAACCCGCTAAGCCCAAACTCTGCAACCCTAAACTGTTTGTGGGCAGTCTCCCAAAATCCCCAATCCCGTCAAGCTAACAACAACTTCCTCATAATGTAAGGGTGTCATAGTGGTTGTGTATACAATCAGCTGGCTATAAACCTGTGGGGGCTATGTCGAACCTTTATGTTGCAACCCTGCCATTATTATAAGCCTTGACTTATCTTCCCAATTTAACACCCTTTCCCTGTTCGCCAAAGCCCCGCCACAGGAGGATGATGAGGATGAGTGAGCAGCCAGCCTGGGTTGGCAAAGACAACTGATCGATCGAGTCTGTACCAATGTTTGAGCTGTAGTTTCGGTTGACATAGTGACTATCGGTAGTATTCATTGCCAACTCTATGGGTCTTGCAATGCTGGGTTCCGAAAGTGGATCTTACAGCGATGCAGTGGGGCGGGCAATTCAGCACAGAACACTTCATGGTGCTTGTGTGTGTGTGCGAACCGATGGAAGCATGTGTGCATTATGGTGACAAGCTTCTTGGAGTGATGCGCTTTGCCTTGTGGGCTGTCCAGCACAGCTGTTATAATACTGTCTATCGAGCATGTTTCTATTTGCTCCTAACTTCTGATGAAGACAAACGGGATGATGGCAAGTGTGAAAAGAAGCAGCAGAGCTTGTCATAGAGTCTATCCCTGTTTCCCCGGGCTCATGTGCATCCAATGGAGCTTGTCACAGGACGTGCTATTCAACAACAGCTGGCAAATGCTGCTGAGAAGCGGCCCCGCTCCTCCGACTCTGCTGCCGCGAGCAGTGCGAAGCGACGTGTGTCGGCGATTCCATTCGTGAATGCTGCAACTGCAGCTATCGATGAAAAGCCCCAGGAACCTTTACAGGATACCCTGCATGCTAAAAGACATTCGGGTTTGCTGTGTCATTAGTTGTATCGTGCAGTGTGCATGACACCCTGCAGGACCCAGATGATTTTGGAGAATCCCTCATCATCAAATACACTGAAGGCAAGAGCAGTGCTACAAATGTTTCTCGACAGCAGCAACTCTAGCCGTATACACCTATATACTCGCATAAAGCATCATGAGCATGTGCATTCGTGAACTCTGCCTTGTGTCTGCAAGGTACAAGAATTGGCTGCAGGGGCAATGTCATGGTGTGCATCTACTGGTGGCAAAGCCAACAAAGGAGACCTGGTCAAGAAGCTCTCAAGATTAGGGGCCTCTGGTGCACACGTGCAAAATGCAGAGAGGGACCTGCAGAGAACTATCTCATCCTTTGGATACTCACTTCGTGCCAAAATCGACACCATTCGTGTCCATTTATGGGATCCCAAAGACTCTTGCATCTATGAGGCCGATCTTCCAGCATCCCGCCAACACAGGTGTAATAAGGCACAAAAGCACCACATGACGATGTATCCCTTGTGCTCATGTTCTTCTGTGACAGCCAAGGTTATCTTCCCAGATGAATTTGCCAGGGCTGTCTGGGATCTTGGCAAAGATGTATTCGAGCAGGTCTATTTGGGAACTGTGGGCAAAGCTGGAGCTACTGAGTATTGGGCGAATGCGCGTGATCGGTGTGTCTGGTACCCGCCAGGTATACCTGAAGATTGCCACTCGGGCCTGATACCGGTTTCTATCTACGGTGACGAAGTGCATGCATACCGAAACACAGATCCTGGTGCAGTTTCTGTTGTGGGCTGGGGTTCTGACCTCAGTTTCGGTATTGAGGCCATGCTTCAGTACGGACTGATTTGTGTGTATTCGGAATACTGTGAGTGTGAAAGCACTTATGGTGATATCATGGAGGCAGTGCTTCCAAGATTCCAATACCTCTGCGATCCACATGCCCCTCACCCCTGGAAAGATGAGTTTCGGTTCCTGCTGTGTGGAGTACGTGGGGATCTTAAATGGATCAACGACAAGTATAAGATCCATAACTATCGCCTGAACGACTTTTGTTCTCGATGTTCCTGTGTCAAGAATGCCGATAATGTCTATGAAACCATCACAGCCTTCGGTGACCAGGCACAACATGTGCCAGTGAGCAACTCTTCATTCTGTGATTCGTTGTGCATCGATGAGTGGCCCTGGCCGATGAGGTATGGTGTGCACCTGGAACGTTTCTGCCATGACACTTGTCACAGCCAGCTTTTGGGCAGCGGCAAATGCTTGAACGGAAGTGCATTGACATACCTTTGTGAACAAGGGTACTTTCATGGTGGGCAATTCGGCTCTGGTGTGTACGACGTGGAACTTCAGATCCAGCTCCAGTTTGCATACTCAGATTTCCGTTCATGGGCGAAGGCTGCGGGCCTTAAAATTCATCATCCGAGATTCACCTTCAACCGATTGAACCGAAAGCATAGAGGCATGCAGCCATGCTTCATGTCTGATTTCATCATTCGTCATGTATAACAATTTCTTCGATCATTTCTACAGATAGGCCGGTTTGGGTAGTCAAAGCTTTGTTTGTTTGGTTTTGATTGAAAGCGTGCAAGGCCTCGCATCAAAAGCCATTGCCGGCAAGGCAGTGACGTTTTGGCTCGCGTATCGCTGTCTGGAGTACGCGGAAAGGAATGGTTCCACGCCGCTAGACCGGCTTGTAGCTGTCTGCGTTTGGAGCTATGCAGATTTGCTGCACCAGTTTGACTCCTGTCCACTGATCTTATCGGATTCGCAGGCGAAACAGATGTTCAAGACAGGACAGCGACATTTGCAGACCTGGGCTACTCTGAGAAGTTTGAGTGCTGCAATACCTTCGGGGAAGATTCCCAACCGCAACCTTTGGATGATACTCCCGAAGATGCACCACCTACATCATGCACTTCAAGATGCTGTTGTCACTCGCATCAATCCGCACACACAGAACCTGCTTGCAGCTGAAAGTTGGATCGGGGTTATCGGACGAATGGCCCGGATTCTTGGCTGTTCAGCTTCAATATTTTGTTAATTGTTGAAAACCAGCAAACCGCAAGCATCCGCATCATGAGTATCAAAGGACAACGCACCGCTCTGCCGTGAGCCGAAGGACCCTGCAACGTTACCGTTGCAGGATCCGCTTTAGACTGGAGAAAGCCTCGAAGAGGCTGCGTGGTTGACAGGGGATATGGAAGCTTCCGATGCTTTGTGTGCAAAAGGCAGACTACATCGACAAATGCTGTGTCATGCATCATGAGCACGCGTACGGGGACCCTCGCTGTGACGTCCTGTGCTAACGCATGACCCCTCAAGCCCCTCAGGACACCTGGGGGACAGGTCCCGAAAGTCATGTCATCCCTGAGGGCCCCATCGAAAACGGAGCGTTAGGGTAGGGCTTATAGGAAAGACAAGGACGCGCGGTGAAAACTGGCAGGGGCTGCTGGGGGCTGCGGCGCGTCCTGCGAACCCATGCAACCTGAGTGCTGGGGACGCGGGGGCTGCGGCAGAGCCTGCGAACCCGTGGACCCGTCAAGCACCCCAGTTGCGAGACTTTGGTGAAATCGAAACGTGGGCTCCGGATTTCTGGAGCTCCGTGGAGCAGCTCCAGCTGAAGGGGTTTAGGGGTTTAGAGTTTAGGGCTTAAGGTTTAGGGTTTAGGGGTTTAGGTTTTAGGGTTTAGGGCTTTTGGGGTTTAGGGTTTCGGGTTTAGGGGGTTTAGGGTTTTAGGGTTTAGGGGTTTAGGGTTTAGGGTTTAGGGATTTAGTGGTTAAGGGGTGGTTTAAGGGTTTAGGGTTTAAATAGGGTTTAGGGTTCAGGGTTTCCGGGCGAGAGAAGCCTGCTGCAAAAGGGTTTAGGTTTAGGGCTTTTGGGGTTTAGGGGTTTAGGGTTTAGGGTTAGTCTTGTTGAAGGACTGGATCTCCATGCATATTATGTGCATTATGCACTGGAATGCTGTCATGGTAACTGCAAGATCTCACGGAATTCCTAGACCCTATAAACCCTAAGCCCTATAAAGTCTATGAGGCCCTAAACCTGGCTTTAGATCACTTTGCCGGCTTACATTAGAGTTCTCAGCCCGATACAAAATCCTCAAACGCCAAATTCCCAGAGATGGGATGATGCGCTATTCTTACCTACATTATTTTGGTGGCTTCTTACTACAGTTATAGTAAAACAGACCCCCCAAACCCTATTCTAATTATAAAGACCCAATATCCCCTGAATTCGGATTCCCCGGAGCCCCAAACTGAAGGAACTCGCGTCCGGTAAGCAGACGAAGCGCTTGAGTGTAGGGTTTAGGGTTTAGGGTTTTGTCAGCTTGTCCAAGTCGATATATGCAAGCCCCAAGCCCTAAATCCTAAGATTTAGGCTTGATGGTTTGGCTTGCAGTTGAGCGTTTAGGACTCGGGGCACAAAGGGTCTGGGGTTTAGAGTTTCTGACACGAGTGCAGCAGCTCTGAGAACTAGGTGGGCATGTACAAGTCTGTGCAAAAAGAGTTTAGGGTTTAGGGTTTAGGGTTTAAGGTTTAGGGTTTAGGGTTTAAGGTTCATGGGAGTTGCAAGACAGGCAACGAAACCCCGCAACCCTAAACCCTCCGCAAGCATCTATAGTCCCAGCATGCTAGAGTCTGTCCTCGCGCCCTGTAAATGAACCCTAGCCCCCCAATCCATGCCCGAAACCCTAAGCCCTAAACCCTATGCGTCCTGGTTTTCACTGGATGGCTGCTGTACAAAGACTTTGACGGGGGGCTTAACGAATCTGTGAGAGATCCGTTTGAGTGGATAATGATCTACAAGTGCCGCAGGGCTGAGTTGCGTCGCGATGGCCACATGTTGGTTGCATTGTCGCCCCTACTTCTGAGCTTTCAACTGAACCCTGCAATGCGGGCTTGTCCTAGCTAGGTGCGAGGCAAAAATGAATCCTAAACCCTATAAACCTTATAGACTCTAAGCCCCAAATACCTTAAACCCCAAGCCCTATAAGCGCTAAGCCAAAAACCTTAAACCCGAAACCCTGTAAGCCCAAAGCCCTAAACCCTAAACCCTACCCAGAGACTCCACTTTCCCTTAATTAAGGGATATACCTTAAATCATATTAAGGATCCTACTATATTTTAAGGAATATTCCTTAACTCATATTAAGAATCCTTAATATGATTTAAGGAATATTCCTTAATGAAGGGATATCGGAGTCTCTGGGTAGAGCTCAAGCCCGAGAGCCCAAGAAGCTTCGAACCCCTGAGCTCCGAACGCGTTTAGGGTTTAGGGTTTAGGGTTTAGGGGTTTAGGGGTTTAGGGTTTAGGGTTTAGGGGTTTGGGGGTTTAGGGTTTAGTGTTTAGGGTTCATTTAGGGTTTATTTAGGGTTTAGGGTTTAGGGTTTATTTAGGGCTTAGGGGTTAGGGTTTAGTGCAGGCTTGTCAAACCACGCAGTTTAGGGTTTAGGGTTCTTACGGTTTAGGGCCTAGCCCTTATGAATAAGTGATGTGCCCCTCAACCGCCCTGAACCCTAAAGGATTTAGAGTTCAAGGGTTCAGGGGTTCAGGGGTTTCCTTCTTTTGTAAACACCCTAAACCCTAAACCATCTCGACCGGTCCCAAGGGGCTGTGAAGAGCAAGGGGGCCATCCTGGGCCGATGATGTACAGCGTTGCGGCCGTAAGCGCCTCACCTGCAGTTCAGTTTAGGGTCTAGGGTTTCGGGTTTAGGGTTTAGGGTTTGGGGTTTCGGGTTTAGGGTTTAGGGACTACCTGGGAACCCAGAGACTCCAATATCCCTGAATTAAGGAATATTCCTTAAACTATAGTAGGATTCTTATTTTGATTTAAGGTATTTCCTTAAATAACGGATATTGGAGTCTCTGGGAATCCAACAGCCCACCACTGGTTCGGGGGTTATGCTCTATAGCAAAGGGGTCATAACCTACTATTTTGTAGAGCTTGGCGTTACAGAGTAGGGTTGTCAGACCTCAGACATTTAAAGTACTCATGCTCAGAGGGAGTGTCAACCCTGCACCATTTAGCTGTAAGGTCTTCCATGGCTAATCTAGCGCAAGCGTCGACACTATAGATGACGTTGAGGGGCTTGTCGTTTGTCAGCATCTACCGGCTTGAGTGCGTTTTTGCAACACTCTGCACCCCATCAAGCCCACACCCGAAATCCTAAAGCCCAACAAAAACACACAAAACCCTAAACCCTAAACCCTAAAACCCTAAAACCCTAAACCCTAAAACCCCAAACCCTGAAACCCTAAACCCTAAAAACCCTAAGCCCTAAAAGCCCTAAAAAACAATAGAACCCTAAACAAAACAAGCCCTAATTAAACCCTAAAGCCCTAAGCCCTAAAACCCTCAACCCTAAAAGCCCTAAGCCCTAAAAGCCTTAACAAACCCTAAAACCCTAAAACCCTAAGCCCAAAAAGCCCTTAAAAAACCCTAAAACCCTAAACCCAGGTCTGATCAGCTTCGTGGTGTCCAGCAGCCTGGTGGTCTCTTTGTCATAGTTGGGTAACATTTTACATTTTTAAGGGTACTTAAACCCCATAAGGAATATACATTTAAGTAACATTTTACATTTTTAGGGGTACTCAAACCCAATAAGGAATATAAATTTAAATTTTTAAGGGTACTTAAACCCAATAAGGAATATAAATTTAAAAACTTTTAATACTACCCCAACATGAACTAGGTCTTGGCTGCTTACGTTCACTCTCAGCTGCTGATCGGCTTGGACCGGTCTTTGTGGGTTGGAACTTTTTTGCGTTCTGGTTAGGGTTTAGGGTTTAGGGTTTGGGGTTTAGGGTTTCGGGTTTAGGGTTTGGTGCAGTTTGGGGTTTCGGCTTCTGCTGGTTGTAGGGCGTAGGGTCCGGGGTGCATGGACAGGCATGGGCTTGACTCAGAGACTGCGAAGTCTGCACGGCTTCTGAATGAAGCTGTGCTGTCGTTGGAGCCTTGTAGCGAGTAGCGAGGTTCCGCCGCCCTACATCATCCTACATCCTAAATCATGCATCACTTGGCCCCGAGACCCAAAATCCCTGAGTACGCCCCGCAGCCCATGCTTATCCAGCTGACCTTTACGATTTCAGACCTGGTTCTGCTATCAGAACTGTGAAAGGTCTCATAGTGCAAATCACCGTCCAACACAACTCAGCTCAAGACACCTCATTATATAGATAGAGTCCAGAATATTCAAGAAAGAAAATTTCATATACGAGTTTATCAAATACCCACCTACCCAATTGAAGACGCACCTTGATATGTGCCCCAATGCCCACAAACCCCCCCCTCACAACAAGTTTCCGGACTCCGTAACTTCCTGCCTACTCAACAGTTGCGAGAGGATCTTATTTTGGACTTCTGGGTGAGCGACGTCGTCACCAATGCGGACAGCACGTTGTCCTCGGCTGTCTTGAAGTGGGCTGACTAGAACCGTTCCCAACACTAGCGCAGTTGCAGAGCCGAAACACGATGCTCAAGAGTCCGCAGATTCCGCGGTGATGCACGAGCCTCGTGTTCTTAAGCATGAAACACTCCGCCACAAGCCAGGCTTCTCAGAAAGAAACCCCGCACCTACTGTTCGGCTTTCTGCAGGTTTAGGTTTTTGGATCTCATTCACGGACCAGAACCTCGCGTAGACATGGCAGCATCGAAATTTCCCGACAGTGAAGGAAAGCGTACCTTCACCAGTTGATGTTTCGGTTCTGTTTCGGGATTCTGCGCACGGTTTCTGGAGAGGTTTCAGGGCCCGAGATTGTTGCCTTAATTAAGGGATATTTAGGGTTGAGGGCGATATTCCCTAAACCATAAGAAGAAGCCAGGGCTGCCCAAACAAGGCATATCCCATGATATTCCTCAAATCATAAGAAGAAGCCCCAAAAGTTCTCAAGTAAGGTATAGTCCATTATGCTCTCTGGCAAACCCTAAACCCTAAACCCTGGCAGGACTTCGGCGAAGGTGTCCGCAGCTGGAATTCCATGCAAGCGCTCTTGCCCCCTGCCTGTTA